TCCCGCACCCCCCAGGGGGCTGGATCCACACCAGGAGAAGCATTCGCTGTGAATTGATCAGGACGTGGAAGCAGCTCTTTACAGTGGGGGTGATTGTCCCCGCTGCCACACCGGACCAGGGACCTGGGGGAGATGCTCAGAACTTGGGTCAGCGGGGAGCAGGGCCCTAAATCCACCCCTAAGAGGCTGTTCACAGGGATGAGCATCCCTGAGCATCCTGGATGAGCTTCAATGGGAGCTGGACTCGGTGCCACGATGCTGGTGTGGGGTCTGGGGACCGGGGCCTGGGGACCATCTCAGCCTCTCCGTGGGCTGGTGCGGGGATGAAGCCTGACCCCATGCCTTGGATGAAACTGGTCCCATTCCTGCGCCCGAAGGTTGTGAGCGCTGCAGTCCCGTGGGAGATGCAGCAACTCAGGGCTCAGTGTCCTCGTCCCCCTCCTCTCCCAGCCCTGGCCAGGGTGCAGGACCCTCCCCGAGGCTGGCAGCAGAAGGGACCACGGGTGGCACATCATACCCCAGCCCATCTGCCTCATCGGGGATGGAAAAATGGGGTAAAAAACCTAACTAAAGGGATTCCTTCACATGCCTGGGCCCCAGGCATCGCTCCCCCATCCCCAGCCAGGAGCTGCCGCCCCGGCAAGGCGCTGGCCAGCATCAGCCGAGGCCATTTTGCAGTGCTGTGGCTCTCCCCCCCGTGACTGATAACAGAAGCACTTACAGCTGTCTTCTTCCTCCAGGAACACTTTGCTGACGTAGCAGGCGTAGACGAAGCCAAAGAGCTGCAAAACAAATGCGGGCAGAGAGAAATCGGTTATTGGGGCGATGGGCAACGCAACCAGCACGGTGTCGGTGGGGGGACAGAGCTGGGTGCTGTGAGGTGGATGCCTGGGAGCATACTGGGGGGACTGGGAGCATCCTGGGCAGGATCAGGGCTGCCTCCAGGCTGGCAGTGCCAGACCACATCTCCGGTGGGTCCAGGTGCTGGTTTGGGATGCAGCAAGGTCAGATGGATTCAGCTGCGCCGGGGCAACAAGGGTGGTGGCAGCGCAGAGGGTGCTGAGCCCCACGTAACACTGGGTGCCCCTTTGGTGGGTGCACGGCAGCTACTCTGGACCTCAATTCCCTTTCAAGCTTTATTTTCTTGCAGCCTCCAAGGCTCCCCAAGAGCTTTGCATCCAGGTCTGTCCCCTTCCCACCTCCCCATGGGGTGAGACAGCCACCAGAAAGGGGGGACCCTCCCTTTGCAGCAAATGGCACATCCCACCCGCTCACACTCTGGCAACGCGTCTGGGTGCATTACACCGAGAGCTCCTCGATTTCTGCAGCATCCAACCCACAGCCTGACAGGTTTTGGGGTGGGCAGCACCCCCCGGTGCTGGCAACAGCTCCATCTGCTCCTTTCTTCCCAGCCTTGAGCCAGCACCACCCTTGATGCTATAAACAGGCACTGATGCGTGATGGCACGGTGGGACATCTCCAGCTGGCCCACGGCAGCTCTGTCCACCCCGGTTCCTGCCATCATCCCCCTTCTCTCACTTCATGATTTGGGATGAAGAGAAAAGGTATCGGCAGCTGCCCTTACCGCCAGGAATATCTGCGTGGCACTGCTCACTACCTCGATGTATTGGTAGTCGAGCAGGCAGCCGCTGACGGTAATGACGTGATGGTCCTCAGGTGCCAGGTTAGAGTTCATCACCGGCGTCACCAGGCAGCCCGGCCCGTTTTCCATCCACCACGAGCGATGCAGTGAGGTATTGAAGGTCATGATGAAGTCTCGGTCCTACGAGAGGGGAGCAGAGGAGGAGGCACAGACGATGGAGCTGGAGAGCTTTGCAGAGAAGCTGGACAGAAAATGGGCTTTTCCAACCCGAGGATGGTCCGGGAGACCCAGAATGCGGCCAATGAACCCCTGCATCTCCCTAAACTGCAGCCTGCATCCTGGGGTTTGTGGTTTCCTCCTACACCAGTGTCACGGACCATTTGGTCAAGCAGCATCCAGCCACAATGACCAGGTGACATCATGGATGTCACAGAGCTGTCACCAGCATGGCAGTTTGGCCTTGAGGCAGGGAAGGAGCTGCTTGCGACGCTGCCGGCCGCATCCAGCCGTGCCAGAGGCAGTACCATGGGACCACCCTGACAGCACGGTCCAGGGATGCAGGGCAATCCCTTCTGCTTCCCCTGGGGTTTCGGGGTGCCATCCCCCCATCCCCATCCCCACAGAGCCTTGCAGGGGCCCCACTCATGCACGTTCCCTCCTCGTAAGCCCATGACCAGGCTTTGGGGCTCTCCCTGTTTCATCTCCAGCAGCTTTGAGGTGCCAGGGGGGTTAGCAGCAGCCTCCTTGCTGCAAGGCACGGCTGCAGGTTGTCACCAGGCTCGGATAAGCTGCAGGGCTAATCCCCCAGCCCCTGCCTGCGTCCTCCCCATAGCAAGCTCCTGTGAGGTTAAGCTCCTGAGCTCAGTCCCAGGACACACCATGGCATGTTTGATGCCGATGCCCCTGCCCGTGGATCCAGCAGGGAGATGGAGATTGCACGGGTTGGGATGCAGCCCCAGCACAGGGCTCTGGCAGGCAGCAGCACAGCTGGGTGAGCACCCACCCCACGAAGGGTCCTCCTGGCACAGCTGGGTGAGCACCCACCCCATGAAGGGTCCTCCCAACCCCTTTCCACACCACCAGCCCTCAGGTATGCAAGGGGCTGGGAAATCCGCTGAGCATCCTTTGTAGGAAATCGCCAATCTGGGATTAAAAGATTTTTGCTAGTGGAGGGTGGAAAAAAATAGGAAGAAAGTGGGTTTTGGTTTCTAAAACCAAAGGATGTGGGTTTAGGCACTGGGAAGCACAAAAAGGGGGTGTTGTGACATTGCAGCATCACTGAGAGATGGGGGATTTCCACCAAAAACAGTGGGAGTGAATCCTCCCCTATTGCATCCTCCGTGCCTGCTGCACATATCCGGCATTTCAGTTTTTTAGAAGAGCCTCAAATGACCTGTAGCAACATGTGAAGATGGTTTCACCCATCAAGCCCCCCAAGAAACCCTTCTCCCCCCTGCAAGCATCCACAGAGCGAGTCGGAGCCTGTTTCCCCAAGCCTTCTGCGATGCCCCCAGCGCAGCACAGGGACGGCATCCTCAGAGTGGGAGTGGGACGCCAGAGCAGGGCACATCCTCGGCACCGGTACCCCAACCGCAGGCTGAGGATGCTCAGACCATCTAGTGAGGCACCATCGTCTCATTAAGTTTTGCTCTTTTTTGTGTAAGAGCTATAATTTAATAGCCCAGGGTGGGGCAGAGAGGCACGGCCTTGCTCCCATCCTCAGCCCCATCACCACCGAGTGAATTTTCAAAGCCACTAATGATGTCCGGCCACTCTCCTGCTGCTCCCGGGTGCTTGCAGAGCCTCAGGAGACCCTGGAAAATTGGGAAGCAGCACCGGGGGGTCTCCTCCTCCCCATCCCACTGCCTTGCCCATCCCTGCCTGCACCGTGAGCTGAGCTACTGGACACACTGTCCCAAATTTCTCTGTCATTGTTCGTCCCCACTCCCCGTGTCCCTTCTCCACTTTATCTCCTCGCCGGCACGTTAGGAAACAACACCGTCCAATTTCTGCACCCCAGAAAGCCCGGCAGTGCTGAAGGCTTGCCGGTGATTAACGAGTGCCCTGCAATTCCTGACTCACCAACCTCATTAATTTTGCTCTCCTGCTTCAAACCCCCCCTGACCCAGCCACCTTGGCCTGAACCGTCTGTCTGCCCATCCCACACGCAGCCGGGTGCTCCGTGCTGGAGCCAGGACCCCCCCTGGGGAGGCACCCCCAGCACCCAGGCACGTGCTTTGCTGCCAGGGTGGGGGCACCCACAGGCTCTGGGTCCCTTTTGGCGGCAGAGCTGTGGAGCAAGGAAAGGAGGAGGAGGAGGGTGAAGGCAGGACAGCAGGAAAGCTGGAAAGCTGGAGGGAAGGTGGATGGGGGAGGAAGAGGAGGCAGGCAGAGGGCATTACCTGCGACAAGCGTCCGACCTCCAGGTAGAAGCAGATGATGAAGGCGTTCCAGCCGACCCACAGCACCAGCCACACCGCGTACTGCCAAGAAGAGAGCCGGTCAGGGCATGCCATGCTGAACAGGCATCCCCCGGTCCATCCCTGCTCTGCCCTGCTCACTGGATCCCACCAGATCCACAAGGATTTGGATTTGGATGCAGGAGGGGACCTGGGGCTGAGCCATCCCTGGGAGGTGACGATGCTGCACCCGGGCGCGGAGAGCGGCATCCGCAGCGGTACCTACCATCATGAGGTATTTGGATCTGTACTGGATGGTCCCAAAAATACCCAAAATAACGGCCATGATGTGCAAAAAATTAGCCAGGATGGGTGCCCACTGGTACCCCAGGAAATCAAAGATTTGCCTCTCCAGCGCCGCTACCTGCAATAGAGCAAAGGAGGGGTTGTAGGTATTAAAGCAGGGCATCGGTCACTGTAGCAGCTCCCGGGATGCTGAAGGCAAAAAGCAGCTGGTAATTAATGGGAAAGCCCGTGGATAATTAGTTGCAATGGGCTGAAACGTCTGCGTGATGCATCGGCTGGCAGTGGGTGAATGCACGGCAGCGAGCGAGGGGTTATTAGGAATATTTGGAGCTGAGAAGGGAAAAGCAAGGAGATGTCAGCGTGTCGCTCCATCAGCACCCTCTGTGCCTCAGTTTCCCTTGCGTGCTCAGGTCGTGCACGGGGTCCCCCAGTATTTTGCAAGTGATTTTTCTGCCCATCCTGGCCAGCTCGTCCTGTGCCTTCCCGTTTAACGCCATTGGGTTTTGATTGCTGTTATCATTTGTAATCCATAAAAAAGGACGTGATGCAGCTTAATAAACTGCACGCCATGCAAAATTAGAGATGGTAGCTGGTGTGGTCTGCCTGTTATCCCAGCGCTTATTTATGGCTCTATTTGCTACCGGCTCAGGGTCTATTACTCTTAATTACAGGATTAGCTTAAAGAAAGGTGGTAGCAAAGGTAAGGTGGGAGCACTGGAGCATTCACCAATGGTTTTAAGTTAAAAAAGGGAGATTTGATGAGGTTTTTTAGGGAACTTCAGGGTGCGTCGGACGCTGCAGTCCCCGAGGGCGCAGGGACAGGGCTGCAGCGAGCTGTGTCTGCAGCAGCCTTGCAAACCAAAGAAATTCTTTACATTTATCTTTTTGACAGCACAGCCCTGTCTCATCGCTCTTTGAGATGCCCCAGATTCACCTGATAAACCTTGTGAGCTCCAGGGCCCTGAGTCCTCCCCGTAGCACCGTGCCTCAGTTTCCCTTCCCAGTGTAATGGCTCTCATCCTGGCAGAGAAGTGAGAGTTTATCCTGAAAATTGCAGGAGAAAATGGGGTTTATATCCCTCCACCCTTCACCAGCAGATTCCCCCGGTGATCTGGATTTAGGGGAGCTCCATCCTGGCACTCCATGAAGCTCCCATGGGGGTTACGGCCGCGGGGCTGCCCCAGGGCCCTGCAGCATCCCTGCCCATCCAGCCTCACCTAATGTGTCCCAATTACAAGGGGGAAATGAATGAGGTGGCAAAAGTCCTTCCCAAAATGTTTTGGGAGGATGAGCCATGGCTAATGCAGCTGTGTGGGCAACCGCCAGCCGTGCCTCAGTTTCCCCATCCATAAAGCATCACACACTCACCGCATTGGCTTAGTGAAGGCTCTAATTAACGCCTGTTTTAGCCCAGCTCCATCCTGCCAGCGGGTGGAAAGCCAAAGGCAGAGCTGAGGACCGTGGTATCCCATCCCCTCCCCTATCCCCGGGATAGGATTCGCCAGATCCGTGCCTGCAGGACCCTGGTTTCAATTAAAGGCGATACAACGGCATGGAGCAGCCGAGCCCGGACAGCTCCTGAATCCGCAGGGCCAGGGCCAAAGCTATTTGCATTGAGGCTTAATTCACTTCCACGCTATTTAAACTCTCCGAGGAAACAGCCTTTGGAAATACTTACAACTGGGCCGTAAATCTTTTAAATTGAGGAATGTAAATAATAAATGATACAAGGAGCGCGGTGCTCGGGGTTTTATAGCCATCCATCGATCTGGTGGCTGTTGACAGAGCTCCTTAGCAGGAGCTGGATGCCAAGGCTGTGAGTTTTGGGGACCGCTGAGTCTCCGAGCCATGGGATGGGGCTGGGAAGAGCCTCTGAGAGCATCCCATGGAGCTGGAGCGATGTGCTTGCACCCACACGGCTCCTTAATTCTGGCCCATCAAGCTAAGACAGGCTGAAGGAGAAGGAGCTGGGGAGAGCCTGGCTGAACCGAATCCTTCTTCAGCCCAAGGAGAGGCAAAATTAATGGCAAACATCACCGTCTCCCCGCAGACAAGCGAGGGTTGCTAATTGCACCGAAAAACGTTACTGGAGCCACCCTGGCAGGTAAAATCCTGCTTCGTGTGTGCTGATATTTAAGCATAGTCCCTCCGCACAAAAAGCAAATCCTGGTTTTTTTTCAGCCTCATCAGATCCTGCTTAAAGTTAAGGAAAATACGGAGACACAGCACAAACGCGGCGAGTCTGCAGCTGCAGCTCCCCCGGCATTCACCACCCGCAAAGCACCAAGGGCAGCCCAAGGGCAGGACAGCAGCCTTATGCCTGGTTTCATGAGTGGGGAAACTGAGGCACAGCCATGCTCCAGAGGGAGTGGGGGGCACAGGTTTGGCAATCCTCGCACAGGGCATTGCGGGGCTGAGCAAGCACCAGCTTTGGCTCAGACCGATGCTCTTGGCTTGCTCCAAGCATTTCTCACCGCTTGCTCACTGTGGACCCCAGGCTGGTCCAGCACTGGGAGCATCCTTGCCCGATCCTTTGGGGGTGAGATGTCCCCCGGCAGCAAACTTCAAGACACCCAGGCTTTTCATGCCAGCCGTTCATCAACGGTGGCCCTAAATGAAGCAAGAGCAGGGAGCAAGCCTGGCTGCAGGGCTCGGCGTCGCCTGCAAGCACGGCAAGGGGCTCTGCAAGCTCTCGGCGTGCTCTGCAGGAAACCTCTGAGCAACTTGGGGACCGGCAACATCCAACCCCCCAAACCTAGGTGACTTGTGGAGCTCAGAGCATCCTCCTCCAGGCTGTCCTCCTCCTATAAGGGGTATTTCCCATGCTAATAGCAGCCCGATTAACAACCCACCCTCATTAACACCCTGCTCTCCCTTTCAGCTCTTACTGGTGCTCCATCAACCAAGCTGTGATGCTCCTGGGGGTGTGGGACCGGGAACCACACACCATCCTGCTGCTAATTAAGATAAACCTGCAGCCGATCAATGCAACGAGTTTTAGGGCTCCCTCTGAATTAAACACTCTCTAGTTTATTGATCAGCCCCAAAAGTTCCCTTTGCAGCAAATCATATCAATTAGTCGGGAGCAGGCGTGCACCAGAGTCCTGCTAATTGAAACACATTGCCTGCAATGATTTTATTTTAATCAAGAAATCGAAGCGGGCGAGATGCTGGGACCAGGCTCTGTCAGCACGTGGCGGTCCCCAAGGAGGACCACGGCTGGATGGGATGCGTGCGCAGCCCCTTGGGGACAGGGAGCTGCTGGGGCTCAGCCTGGGGATTCTGGGCAGGCAGAACCGGTCAGGCAGAGCTGGAGGAAAATGGGATTTTTTTCAGGGGTGCTGGCACCAAATTCATGTAAGAAGGAGCTCACCTGTCCCCAAGTCACCCCTTGGTTATGGCATCTTCACCTTCCTTGGACCCATCCTGTTACTTGGTGGGGTCTTCCCAGTCCTCCCCATGACAAAGATGGAAGAGATGAATCCCACCCCGGCTGTGATGGGAGGATTGCACAGACACCGGACAGCACCTTTGCCCATGTCCCATCCCCAACACATTTGATACTTTGAGGTTGGAAATCACTCGTGCAGCCCAGCTGGGCAGCACTGGGCCCTGGGAAGAGCATCCCTGACCCAGTACCCTCCAACCCACTGCAGCATTAAACCAGAAATCTTCTTGGCAAGCAGCTGTCATTTTTGCTCTCTCAGAGCCAGAGAATCACAGGATAGGTTTGGTTGGAGGGACCTTCAAAGATCATCCAGTTCCAACGCCCTGCCACAGGCAGGGACATCTTCCACTAGACCAGGGTGCTCAAAACCCTGTCCAACCTGGCCTTGAACACTTCCAATATAGAATCAGAATGGTTTGGATTGGAAGGGATCTTCAAAGATCATCTAATCCACCCTCCCTGCCATGGGCATGAACATCTTTTGAGCATCTTTCAGGTTGCTCAAAGCCCTACCCAATCTGACCTTGAACATTTCCAGGGAT